GTCTGCATTTCTCGCGTTATAAAAGGAACCGAAGAATTCCCATCGCCGAAGCACTTAAAGTATTTTCACTTGGTGCTTCTAGGCGCCGAGGCAAGCGTAGGCGGGGCATAGCGAGGGGTGAGGGGTTGAGGGTGGAAGGGCGGGGCCTCCAGCACCCCTGGATGATGCCAACTGGGCACAGAGGCTGCTTCAAACTGGTGAAACAGACTTGTACCAACGAATTAATGTCCAGTCATTAGATCCCCCTCTCACCTTAACGGCTCATGTGAGGAGCTGAAGGGTTAATCGCCGGCATTTCAGGGCCAATTGGGGTGTTGATTACTCGGCTATTAATTATCAAATTGGTTTAATCAGAATGGCGAGTTAGGTGAGTGTTATTTTAGGTGGTTGAATTAATTTGAATAGGGGAGGGGGGGTTGTTGGGTGGACAGGTGTACTGAGAGCAGCGGGAAGGACTGTTAGCGGTAATTAGTTTAAATCGGGGAGCTGGGTGTTTGGGCACTTCGTTAGGAACGGAGAGAGAGGATATTTCATTCAAAATTCTTGGTTGAGGAGGATTTGGATGGAATTTGCGTGAGGGAATAGTTGTGGGGCTGGTTTTCATTTGGAGGGTTAATTTGGTTCAGTTGAGTCTTTATTTTGTTTTCTATTTAATAATTATTTGATGTTTGAGGGTACACAAGTGGCCATTGTTTTTCGTTGGTTTTTGCGGAACTTGTAGGGAAATCTCAGGGCTTTTGTTCAAGTCCCATTTGACTCTAGGTTACGGAATATTTTTTTATTAGTTTATTACTTGAACTTTGAGGAACTGAACTTGATGCTCGATTTTTAAGTGTTAGGATTAAGGAACATTCTAAAAATTTCCGAAATGTTAAATATTTACTTTTTGATTCACGAAATAATTGAAATTCTTTTGTAGATTATGACTTTCTTTCTTGAATAAGTTATAAATGACCAACATTATTAGAAAAAAAATTAAATTTCATAGATAGTTGAAATTTAGATCCAAAATTGTAGCCAATTTTTTAATATTCAAAATTTGAAGAAAAGATGATATGTAAAAAAACTGATTAATAAATTTATCTCGACTTGATGGATGAGAAATCGAAAATGATTTTTCATTTTTGATTCCGCAAACTTTGACAGTAATTTAGTGTCACTTTGAGTGCGCATAATAGCTCTGTTTACCACTGTGACCGTAGGTATTAGATTGATTATTGAGGGGTATGGGTGCCATTATAAATGGCATGAATCGGCCAATGTGACCCCCAAATAAATTAAATTATCATGATAAAAGGGGGAGCACACCCCAACACATTTTCTTGGGTTTTGTCTCCCTCTCACTGGGTGTTACACTGCATCTTTCTCGTTTTGGCCCCATAACTACGGATAAACACGAGAGTTCTCTCGATGAAATGCCGCGGGGTTAGAAAACGAGAGCGCGAATCGTGCCATTGTCCACTCGATAAAACTGCCACCCTCCTTGTTTACCGACATCTGTCACTGTTTATGAGCTGCACGCGCACGAGATACACGAGTGATACCATGATTTTGTGTCAACCTGTATTTTTATTTGACTTTGTTTTAGATTGAGTTGAATTTAGAGTGATTTTGGAAATTATGAATTTTTGTGTCAAGATTAAACCCAGAGAAATTACTTATTTAAACTAAATAAAACTATTCATGTGGAATTTTTCTATTCATTTCGACAATTTTTTTTGAAAACAACATCTCATTTTTGTTTTCTATGAAAATAAAAATAAATAAACATTCAGTTTTATAATATTGTCCTTTTCATTCTATTCAATTTAATAGAATAAATTAATTAACTCCATCATAATTTCAATTTTTTTCACTGTCACTGCAAGTAGTTCAAACTCATGTCAGAAATTTCAAGTTTCTCAGGAAACTCAAGTAAAGTCCCAATGTTTTCGCGGCAGAAAGACAAAAATTTCGCTAGTTTACATTAATTTTCAGTTGAAAATGAATATTCATTGCCAAATTCTCTTGCATTTTCAGAGAATTCCTTTAAAATTCAGGGGAATCTGAAATTCAAAGAGAGGTTTTTCTGGATTTTTCTGATTTTTCATTAATTTTCCCTTAATAATTAGACCGAAATTTACAGCTCCCACGGATTTCTTCACAAAATTAGAAATTTTCCATAACAAAATTCCTTGAAATTTCAGTTACTTGTTAAAAACTTCCGAGACCATAACCAGAAATTTCTGCGGATAATTTATAACAGTATAAAAGCCCAAATATTTTTTTATTAAAAACCCAAATCACTTCTTCATTTTTTATTTCCTATAAAAACAAACATCCAATTGTCATATTTTCGTTTCCCTTCCATTCAATTCCCTAGAATAAATTAATTGACTCCATCATGATCTCATAATTTCCCCTGCTCTCACTTCAACTAATTTAAACTCATTCATCTCAAAAATTGAAACTGAATGCCGTCCAATAAATATAAATCAGTACGTCACTTGGAATATGGGGGTAACCATTAAACTCTAGAGTGTTACAAAGGGTGTGGGGAAATCACCCATCCAAATAATTGTCATAATGAGAAAGGGGGGTAGGGGAGGTGATGAAAATACTCGAGGGTTATACGGTTAGAAAGGTAACCAGGGGATAAGGGAGACCCGTGGACAAATCGTCGCTGCCATATGGGGCCCACAGGGGGGCGACCACCCCATGTTCCCTCGACGATAAATAGCCCGCTAAATGCTACATCCTAAATGCTAAGTGTCAACGGGACCAGATACTCGAGCATCTCCACTATTATGTGGATAAATATCACGGTTTTTTCCACCAGTTCTATCGTCCTTATGTCCACCGGACGCGTGTTGCATACGTAGATTTTTTTTTCTGACACGTGCACAGAGTTAACGTACCATATGGGGCACTTAGTGATAGTTAATTCGTTTAGAATAATAATGTTCTTTATCATTTTATCATTTTTGAGTTGATAAAGTTTTTCGCGAGGAAATGTAATGAATGACACAATTTTTTTTTCGTCCATTCTAGAGTTTTTTTGTCAATTTTTTTTCATTCATTTTCGTCTTATGAGATGGAGTCAGATTATGAAAAGAAATAATTATTTCTTGGCGATTCATCAAAATAATTTCCTTGAACTCGTTGTTCGAATTGATTATTGGTCCGTTTTCAGTCATTTTCCTAAGTCGACTCAGGACTTTATTCCAACTTAAATTTAATTTTATTTTCGTTTTTATCCACATCGAATAAATCGTTTTTGAAGAATAAATCAACGTTTATTTGATTCTAAAAGAAGATTTGATTGGAGTGAATACATGACATGATGAGGATATCTTTATTGAAATAAGTGTATAAGTTAATCAATTTCCCATAAGAATATATATTTTTTTTTTATCGTTATTTTACATCGCTTCGATCCGGTTAGGGTATACTGCGATGATGATCAAGACTTTAAATGGTTAGATCGCACCATTCTACCCGGCCGGGATTTGAACTCGGAACCTTTCGCATGTGAGGCAACGAACTTACCCACTGCGCCAAGCCACCGGGCACCCATAAGAATATTGTGGAAATGAATAGAATAATTTCACATGAAGTTTTATTTTTCATTTCTTTGGGTATACTAATTGAATAGGGAAATGTTTATGCAGATTCTTGTACTAAAGCTTTAGACAATTGAACGAAACGGGACGAAAAGGCAAAATATGTTTGACTTTTTTATTCATTTTAAAAACTCATTCAATTGTTAATGAAACGAAATAACTTGTTTTCCTTTGAAGACTACCCTTCCTTCAATTTTTCCTCAGTTATGAGTATTTTTAAAAAATCTAAAGTGTCCATTCCGCCCCACATTCCCCTAATATTCGAAAGTATCCCCTGACATTCACATCAAATAAATCCCTTTTTAAACATAAATGAATGTTTATTTGATTCTAAAAGATTTCATTAGAGTGAATAAATTGCATATGATCAGAACATTTTTATTGGAATAAAATTTGGGTGTACTATTGAATAAAAATTGCACAAAAGGAACGAAGAGGCAAAATAAATACTTTTAACTTTTTTACTACTGTTAAACCCTCATTCAATTGTTAATGAAACAAAATAACTTGTTTTCCTTTGAAGGCTACCCTTCCTTCAATTTATCCTGAGTGATGAATATTTTTAAAAAATCTAAAGTGTCCATTCCGCCCCGCCTTCCCCTAATTTCCGAAAGCATCTCCTCACATTTTATCCCTCACCAATAAAACAACCAAACTCTGCCCCAAAATTAATTCCTACCCATTTTAAAAATAGAACTCCCCCCGAAAAAATTCTCGCGCAATGCCAAACTACCTGTAAACATCATCTAAAAATGAATCAGCCACCGGCTTAATCCCCCACGAATCCTCGACTGCCATGTGTACAAACATTGACAGCCGGTCCATGCGCCGGGGTGACGAACCATCGGGCTTGTTAAGTCGCTTCGATCTCCTCGTCATCATCCTAGCTGATGTGACGTTGTCACGACTGAATCACTTTATTCCTCATCCACCCCCCGCCCCCCAATCACATCCCATTGAATTTCTGGATTAAACATCTCCGCACATGATCAATAAATCGAAGGAAAATAAAACTAAATGTGTGGAATTAATTAAGGAGAGATGAGTAATATTGAGGAGAAGCTCGTGAAAGCGAATCGCGTAGCGATCACCCCTCGATGAAGAGTCATTGGCTGGTCTAATTGGAGGGGCGGTACGCCACGCTCTTTTTTTCCCCGCTCCCCCATTTTAACCGTATCCTGACCCCTCGAATCATACCTACATTCAAACAAATCCACCAGGGATCAACGTTTGGTGCCCTATAATTACATTAGCATTGGCTGATTTTTATTGGATGATCTTTTCGCGTAAATAACCGTCGACACAAATATTCAAACTTACGATTTAAGGGCAACTACTCATGCGGAAATAATAGCTCACATGTTCCATGTTTACTCACCAATTTAACGATAATTTCAGGATGCGCTGCACAACACGCCCTTCTGGGTAAAACTAGGAGACCCAGGACGGCTTTTACGTCGCAGCAGTTGTTGGAATTGGAGAAGCAATTTAGGCAGAATAAATATCTCAGTAGACCGAAGAGATTTGAGGTGGCTACGTCACTCATGCTCACTGAAACACAGGTACGAATAGTTTATTAACATTTTTTAATGCAGTAAGTCGTGAATTTAGGGGGGAAATCATGAAATTTCGGATTTTACTGACAATTCAATGAAATTTCTTATTTTTTGAGAGGAGGAAGACGAGAATTCTCCGATTTACTTGGATTTTCAATGAAAATGTAAAGATTCAGTATCCAATTGGGCGGATTTTTCAATTAATTGAAAGTTGAAATATGTTTACCTGAATTTTACTAGTGTCTATTAATTTTGATGGAATAAATGAACTAAAATTTACAGTTTTCAGTGATTTTTCCGTAAAATTTTGAATTTTCAATGATGAAAATTCCTTGAAGTTTTGGTGGAACTTACAATGTGATGAGAATTTTCGAAAAGTGTGTAGGAAATTTGAGCCAAAATTTTTCAAAAGTGTACAAAGAAAATTCTGAGATTCAGAATTCAAAACTTTTTCCTTTCATTGAAACAGAATTTTAACTCTATGAAAACACACGATGGAAGTTTGAAAATTGTGGTTTGAAAAGGCTGAAAAATTCTACCCCAAATTAGAAGAAAAAATCCCTGTTTTACGCCACTAGGAAATAAAAATTTTCTTCAGCTATATTTTTAGAACTATTGAAATGTAAGTGGTCATCCTTCTATTTGAGATAGAAATTCCCCGCGTGTTCGAAGTCAACACTTGAAAACAGCCTTGTCATCATATTTTAAAACAGGAAAATTTCTTTTTAAATCAAGAATAATAATAAAGCTTTTATGTAAACTAAAAGTTGACTTTTATTCGCATTTTTATTCACACGAAATGAATAATTTGAATTTCAATATAAAAAAATATTTTTTACGCTAATAAGTACTTTATTACGTAAAAATAAAATCATTTTCTCAATATCAAATCGAATGAATTTAGCAACACGTAATATTCCTTTATTTGCACCAAAATTAATTGTACAACACCTCCTTAACTTAATCTGATTTAAATGCCTCGTTTTCCCGGACACATGAGTTATTCCTCACGTAATTATTGTCCATCACCTCCACCCATCTCCATTCAATCAACTTAACAGCAACATCACTCTGATATCCTAAAACCCCATAAAATCATTCCAGCAAACGTCAACTTAAACGTAACTCGAGAGCTTTGTGCCCGCTCACTGACGGATCACAAGACAAACATACCAGGGGGGGAAAAGTCGGATTTACAACCCGGGCTCAGACTCTGATTTGTTTCGATAATTTACCGATTCGGTTCTCCTTCACACGCTTTATATCCTTGTATAAAACATCTCGAGTCCCTCACACGAGTTGTGTAACGACATCTCCTCTTGAGGTTTTTATGGATTGGAGTAAGCCACCCCCAGCAGTTTCAACACTCATATATGGGCGAAGGCGTTACCCTCTCCACTGATTCCCATTGGTATTCTCACGTACGTGAGAAAGTGAGAATGTAAAAAAATGTTGGGAAAAAAAATAGGTACGAGAGAAATGCTTATGGAGGGTGGTGTAATATGGGGAGTACGAGGGAGTGTACGAGAGGGATTGGACTGGGGCTCGCGTGGCTGACTCTCGCTCTGGCGCATGATATGTTGTCCGAGAGATTTACATGGTACTCCAGCGAATCGGGAAGGGCGAAATCGGGTTTGTCTCTCCCTCATTTCTGTCTCCCGTAGTTTTATATTTACGAGACTCTTTTCATCTCGCGAATACAAATTTACTTTTGCAGAAATTGAGATATTCATGCAGTCGTAAATCCAAATTGGAATCGTGAAATAGTTCAGATTATGCATTACATTATTCGCAATTACAACTAGCTGGTCCTCCTCCTTCCGCCCCCTGATGTTTGCCGGGGAATTCCTTTATTTTGCACCTCATTTTTTTATTAAACATTCTAAAAAAAACGTCGATTTTCTCGAATTGGGAACAATTTCCTCAAATTTCTTAGGAATTTTCTGAATATATTTGTGAACTTCATAGAAAATCAGAGAATTTTCTGAAAAACTCAAGAATTTTTTAGGTTCTTGCAGAAAGTTGTAGAATTCTCTAGACAAACTGATAGAGAAAATTTTGAATTTCATGGAAAGTTGACTACGGATCGGCATCAATCATTAGTTTAGTAATATTATGAGAAGTTGCACCTTACATTAAGAATATTCTGTGAAATGCTATCAAAGTTTTATAGTTGAACATCAAGGCTTTCATTTTATCCCCATTTGACCCCAAGTTTTCGGACATTTTACAATGATTTTATTATTTCAATTGTGCAAGTTTGAATTTAAATCTCGACATTGAACAATTAGAAAACATTTTAAAAATCTGAGGAAAAATTAGAAAGATCACTTTTGGAGGGAGATTAACCAAATAAGCGTCAATTTTTTAAACTCAATTATTGATTGATATAATAACTCGGAATTTGAATATTTAATTAATGATTAGTTAAATAATTTTAAAAATGTTGGCTAATATTAACGAATTAACTAATGCAGAACCTAACTTAATTTAAGACGTTAACGGTTGAATCTAAATCCCTCTATCACTACTTAACTATGACACGTTTTATAAGATTCAATCCCACTAACATCAAATAATTTCCCTCATCCTCCAGGTGAAAATTTGGTTTCAAAATCGTCGGATGAAGTGGAAGCGCAGCAAAAAGGCCCAGCAGGAGGCGCGATCGGGGAGCAACAAGAGCGAAGATTCGGCCTCGGGCGGGGGCTCGAGCGCGAGAGCGAATTCCAGCAGCGAGAGAGAAAATGTTGGCAGCAGTGACGGCCTCCGCACGCCTCCCAACGCTACCGTGACGGGGAATCCCCCGGGCGGCGCCACCGCGGCCGCTGACGACAGGGGGAGTTCCCACGATCATCCCAGGCTCATCAACGAGCTTCGCGAACCTTTGTACAGGCCTTACGTCGTTTGAGCCGACGTTCCCGACGTTCTCATGTAAATATATGGTACGGAGAGTGGGGCAAAGTGGGAATCTCCAAACGGTCATCATCTCCTGGGCTAACGACCCGATTTGAATGAACTTTATCCCATTTCCAAAGTCAAAGTCGAAGGGGAATATTGAATGGGATAATTTTTACTCAATTTCACAACAGCCGCCCATTTTGCCCCTCTCTCCTAATTGGTTATACCCGTTTTTAGATGAATTGTCAATCACACGAATTTTTTGGCCGATTTGTGCGAGAGAAAATGACTTTGTTATCGTCTAGATATAGAAACATTAATTATACATGTAATTGTGTAATATAATACAATTATAAATAATTAGCTCATAAGAAACCGGAAAAAAATACTTGTACATAGTAATCGTGCATCGATTTAAGATAGAATGAAATCAATTGTGATGATCGAAGAATCTAATATATTGCGACAAGTTCCTATAATAAATTATCGAGATAAAATATTGAAAATGATTGTGAAGTTTATTTGATCGAGAGGTTAATTCTGAAGTTAATCATTTAATTAATCTCTGTGATAAGGGATTGTCTTGAGCTGAGGGAGTTGCGAAATACTTGGCGTGATTCCCGGAGTCTCTTTGGAGCAGCAGGGTTGCCAACTAGACGCAGTCGCCGTTTTACTACATCAGTATTTATGACATGCTAATTCCCAGTTACGAATTCCGTAACGTCGGTACGTGAATCTCGATTCGCAGATCGTTGCTAGCATTAAATGGAATTCACTCGTTTGGAAGGATGGGTATCTGTCGGGTAAGACTCGTTTTGAGTATGTATAACTGGGGGAAATGTGTATTCAAGCAGTTAACGTATTACCATCGATTTTCTTCTGGATCGGTTAATACAATGTAGAATAGTTTGGTTAAAGTGGGGGGAGAGTGGGGGAGGAGTTTAATTTATCCTCGTTTTTTCGGGGGAAAATTCAATCACGGGGAGAATGATGATTACGATAATTTGGGAGGGAAAGACAATTTGGAAATTCACTGGAGTGGAATTGGAAAAGTTTTATTTTATTGCAGTATTTTAGTTTTTCGGGGGAGCAATTTTGCTGGGGAAAGAAAATTAGGTTTCGGGGAGGAAGTTATGTGGGAGATTATTTCAGCGATTTTTGGGGAGAGAAATTTTGGTATAACGCGGAGGATAACCGCAAGCATTTAATTAGGAATTCGATGATCTTTGGAGGTATTTGTTTTGATTTGTGATGAAGAAGTGTGAAGTTTTGAGATATTTCTACATTTCTATAAAACACAGTATTAGAAAAAATATGAAATTTCAAATTACACAGAAAATTCGATGAATTTCAACATTTTTAAGAAGCAGACAGACGAAAGTCAGAAACTTACGTGAATTTCCGATTAATTGACCTTCATTTTTCTGATTTCTTTCAATTTTCATTGAAAAATTGAACGGAAACTTAGAGTTTTTTTCGTGGGACTGTAACGCGACAAAACTTTCCAAGAATTATAAAAATAATTTTTTCAGCTAAAAAAACATAATTAATTATTTTTCACAATTCACGAAGAAAAAATACTCTTCAAGGATATTAAGGTACTTTGATAATTTTTTTCTGCATTTAAGATTCTCTGAACCCTCATTTTAAATGAGCCGAAAACATTTCGAAATAAAAAAAAAATGAGAAAGTTCACGCGTCAAGAAAGACGTGAATCTCTATTCACGCAATCCAATTACCAAATTCGATTATCGAAAATCTCCGAATTTATGAACCTGTAAAAACTCCCGAGAAATCCCCGATATCTTGAAAAATTGTTTCTAGGTCAATGCGCAATTTTCTGTCTCCCAAAATCACCGAAATGAAATCACAACCATAATGTTGCCACTCCAATTCCCCGCCAAAGAGAATTACTCCTTCAATCGAAAGAAGCTGTCATAAATATTCAGTTCACCACCCAAATTACAAAAATGTTGAACATAAAATAGTCACCCCTTCCCCCACCGCCCCTTTCATTTCATTCCACTCAAAAAACTAAATT